TGCACCACTAAAGACCCCAGTTCTGCAAAGCCCTTAAGCACAAACTTAATTATGAGGACAAGCTTAAGGGCTTTGCTGGATGGAAACTTGCTGATCCACCCCAGGCCAGCCTAGGAGGGCTGCAGGCTCGGCCCCAACATCCCTTCTCCTTCCTGGGGGTCAGCGTAAAATAAAACCAGAGGTGACCTTGCAAAAAGCAGATTCAATTCCCCAGCCCACCTCCCAGCCATGTGTGTGGGGCAGGATGGCCGTGCATTGAGTCGGTTTTGATTCTCAAGCACCATCTGGAAGTCACAGAGAAATGCAATGCTGTGCGGAAAGTGGCTGGAAAGAATGACACCGTGAGAGCCTATTTTTTTTCCCTAGGAAATAAATAGACCATGGGCCACAAATGTGGAGAGGAGAGGGTTCATGCCAGGTCAGGTGCAGGTAGGGCCATGCAGGGACAGTCTGGAGTTTGTCTGGGCAGTAGACACTGCCTCTTAAGGAAGGTTTTGCTGGGCAGAGGCATATGGGACAGTCTCTGGTGATGCTACCTAGGTGGCAGGCTGTGGGTGGCAGTGGTTTCAACCTGTCTGGAGCATCCCTGGGCATGCAACCTATTTATAAGGGGGGGAGAAAAGCAAACTACTGCATATGCAGGTAGCAGGGATCAGGGAGAAGCGGAGCACCCCTGCCCTGTTGGCTGACATGGGGTCTTTAATGCCCTGGGTGTCAGCAAGCTGGATCTCGATGCCTGGCTCCGATATGGCTGTGGTGATGGCCTGGATTCAACTATTTCAAAGGGCACCGGCCGGTCAAGCCAAGCCCCAGATTTAAATTTGCTAAAATAGCTTTTTGCGAAACATGAGGATGGAGAGAAATGTTTCCATGGTTTTGTTTTTAAATTCCGAGTGGGAAGAGTTTATTTTTTCACTAGGAAACTTTCCCTGTAGGATTCGCGATGCTGGCCAGGAGACAAGAGCCAGCGAGCTCCGGTCCCGAATGGAGGGGACCTCAGGGGGTGACCCTGTGCCTGTCACGTCGCCTCATGCAGCCTCACTTACCCCCTTGGCGAAAGGGAGGTTGCAATGTGCACGGCTGTGGCGGTTTGGGATGCCAGTGCTGCTGGAGGGATGCTCAGGCCCATGGCTATCACCGTTAGCCCCTGTGCTACGACTGGGCAAGTAGTATGGCAATAGCTGCATGGTTGGAGGTAAATGCAATGAAAACTCTTACACTGCAAGCAGATTAGGGGAAAACCTGGGGAAATTACCCCCCAGTAGTTTTATTTCTCCTTGGCTCTGGTTATGCACAAGTGCCTTGTGTGGGGATAGCGGTGGTCTGCTCCTCACCAGCATGCTGCTCCTCCTAGATTGCTGCCAATCCGTAATGTACAAGTGAAAGGCTGTTATCACTGATTTGTTCCCTCTTGGTTTATGCTGTCCTAAAAGGAAAACTATTATAGAGATTTAGAAAATAAAAGCAAAATATGACAGAGATTTATAAGAATAACTGAAGAAAAAACCCTTCATAACGACTCATCTGGTTTCAATCATTTCAGTGCCCTGGAAATGAGTTTAACCCAGGTGAGATTTCAAGTGCTAAGGTTTCTGCCTGCAGGTTACCGTGTAGTCCCAAGTGTTCAATGCAAAAACAGGCAGCAGTGAAACAGGGCGCTGGTGAGCACTTGAGACAAGGAAAGAAGTGGAAATCAGGGCAGGCTGGGCTACATTTACTAGAACTGGCTGACAATAAAAGGGTAAAAAATGGCAATTTGCAGCGCTTGCATCTTGCTTCTGTCCCTGGAGCAGAGGAAGGGCACAGTGGTTCATTCTCATTTGCAATTAAATACATTGATCTGATCCCATTTTATTCTCTCCTCCTGTGCACTGTTTTATGGCTGTGGTACTACGGGTGGCAGGAAACTTCTCTTGCTTTGCATCCCGAGAAGAGTGAGAAACTGGCCTTTAGCATCTGGGATTTAATGAAAACTGACTGCAGTGGCTCAGCAGCTCAAGGGTTAATGGGGCTCCCCCACTTTCAGCCCAGACATTGCTATAAAGGCTTATCTATAATGGAAAGCTGGTTATTATTAAGGTAGGAACTGCAGATGGGGGTACAAAACTCCTCCTGCTCCACCTCTGTAGCCCCAGCTTTTCACGCCTGCCTGGGGCAAGCAAAGAAGGAGGCACAGCTACTACAGGACACCTCCCCTTCACGGAAAACATCTTCCCAGGCTTATAAAACACCCCCATTCGCTGGGATACCTGAATATCAGTGCTGGGATACCTGAATATCCCCACAAAGACTTCCCCCAAGGGAAGGGCCAAAGATGCAGCATTCCTGGTACACACCTCACCCAAGAAACATTACAGTTCAGGGAGGGGACGAGGCCACCCCTGCTCCAGCAAAGCACCTGAGCTGATGGAAATCACGGGAGGTGTGCCTTTGCTTTCAAAAGGACTATTAACACACTTATGGTTAATCACACACATAAACCTCACTGTGGCTTAAAGCCAAAGTGAGCAATAAAAGCTCACCGATCGCCAGGCCTCCCGATGGGAATTGTCCAGGGCTGGGGTTGATGTTCACACCAAGTCACCGGGAAGTAACCTGCACCCTCAACACATACATGAGCAGGGATTTCTGTTAGTTTCCCCCCTCCAAAAGCCTGTTACTGGGTAGAACCTCGGAACTACCCAGCAAGATGGCAAAGCAGGTGTGCAGAGGACATGGGTGAAGGGTTCATCTGAGCTGCTTTTTCTCACTGGTGGCTGTGGGAGGGTGAGCCCCGGTCCTATCCCTTTTGGGGTTCAGGTGTATCAAGAATTAGATGTTTAAAGGGATGTGCTTTCCAAGGAGGACAAAACCTTAAGCCTCAAGCACTGCCACGTGTAGAAGGGAATTTAGGGAGAACTCTGTGTGCAAGAAGAACTTAGGGGCACGTGGGTTTTTTGTTGGCTTTTATTTTGTATGGACAAGACCAGGAAATGTGTCTGTCTGAGGGAGATAGGCCTGTTTCTGATGAAACATCCCGGGGAATTAAGCTATGGCCCCATCTCACATCCCACGTTTCAGCTGGACACAGTGGGAGATGAGGGCACTTGGGGGCTGGGTATACATTTGAGACCTCATATTATAGATCAACATTATCTGAAACAGCACCCTTTCTCATAGCCCCAGAATGCTCTCCCAGATCTTGCACGTACCACCAGGCACCGACTTAGGCTGCTCAGCTTCAGAAGGAGACCTGAAAGTCAAGTCTTTGTGTTCTCTTAGGGCACAAGTTAGCAAAGCCAGTAAGCATGATGTGTGTGTCCCGGGGTACAAAGCAGCAGCCAGGCCAGATAAAGGCAGGGGAGCCATTTGGAGACTTGGTTGTCTTCTTACCCCTTTCCCCAGCTCCAAACCTCATTATCAGGATGCTCAATGAGACAAGGGGACGCACAGAGCCTACCCTGCTGCCTCCCTCCCATTAAGCTCATGGAAGGTTACTGGTGGCCCTTTACAGCGAGCTTGCCCGCACCCACCTGCATTTCCACACATCTACAGGGGCTAGGTCAGCTCTTTGTGATTCGTTTTAATCTGGCACAAAGCAGCAGCTTGATGTAAAACACCCACAAGCGCTCTCGTTATATAATATGAATCTGAGAAGATTAAATTATCTGGTCTGAGGAAACACATGCACGCATGTATGTACACAGCTATACACAGGCTGAGCGGAGCTGAGGGCAAAGCTTCCCTTCAGGAACATTGAACTTGCACTTGTAAGCACTTGAAGGGACAAATGATGTGTGTGTACACATGTGCATAGACACGTGTCTGAAGTGCTGCAGCAGCTCTATGCCCTGCCTTCACTGTGAGGCACTGGCACAGGGTGCCCGGAGAAGCTGTGGCTGCCCCATCCCTGGCAGTGTTCAAGGCCAGGTTGGACACAGGGGCTTGGAGCAACCTGGTCTGGTGGAAGGGGGTTTGGAACTGGATGAGTTTTAAGGTTCGTTCCAACACAAACCAGTCTGGGATTCTATGATCTGAAGATGATGCAAAAAGCATTTGTAGCTGTGTGCTTTGTTATCCGCTTCCCCGGCAAAGTCTGAGCAGCAGTGTGGAGCCACAGGTGGAGCAAAACCAGACACGACCTTAAACTTTACCCACCAGCACAGGGCAAGATGCTGCTCACTGGGAGGGGCAAACGGGGTTGAGCAGTCCCCCAAACCACCCAGCATCTCTCTCTCAGCAGACTTGGGGGGCCTGGTTCATCCTGTGGTCGAAGGCCCTGTCCTGCATAGCACAAGCTCCGTCAGTGACGGATGTGCACAGCCTGTGCTTCAGCTGGGTTTGGGGGTGCCCAGACCTTTTGCCCAAGGGGGCATATTTTACCTTCCAGCAGTTTAATGTCGGGAAGGGAAGGCAGGAAATGTGCTTCACCTACAGCTGCCCGTGGCACTTGTGCTTCTGTCTCCTTTTCCTGCACCTTCCAGTCATTGATTCACATTGTTTTGCAAAATACAGCTCTGTCTCGTGAAGCTTCCTGCTCTGCTTGTACTCAGGCTCGAGGGGCTGGCACAGGGGGTGTCCAGAGAGGAGCAGGGCTGCTGCTTCCCTGGGCCGGGAGCCTGTGCCGGAGCCGCTCGGCTTTGCCCCATGCCATCCCCTGCAGACAAAACCAGGCACGGGCGATGCTCGGGGCGATACTGGGGGCATCCCTCCCGGCACCCCACTGTGGTACCCTCCTCTCGGCACCGAGAGAGGCCGAGCCGAGCCGAGCCGAGCCGAGCCGAGCCGAGCCGAGCCGAGCCGAGCGCGCCACCGCCTCCCGCTCGCGAGGCACGTGCCCCTCACCCAACCCCCCTGTAGGCGGCGGGGCGCGCCGAAGTCATTCATGAAAATGTTGACGTCAGCGAGGGGGGCGGAGACTCAGGCCAGGCCCCGCCCCCCGGAGCCATTTAAGGCTGCGCGGCAGCAGTGCTAGGGCTCAGAGCGGCGGCGCGATCTGGTAGTAACGGGCACCGTTCGCAGCGATCGTCCCGCAGCGTCCGCCGGCACCGCGCTGATTGCGGGGTCGTCCTCCCGCACCCCCCACCCCTGAGGGCGCGGGGCAGCCTCCGCCGGGACTTCATGTCTGTGCTGTGTCCCCTGCCCTGGTGAGTGCAACACTTGGTTAACCGGTACCAAGCGCTTCCCGCACAGGGGGCTCGGGGGGGGGGGTCGCGGGCCGCTGCTGTGGGGCGAGGGGGCTAGAAGCGGAGCCCCTCCTTCCGGGGATGAGGTCCTGGAAAGTGTTTTGCTGGGAGAGGGGAAAAAGAGGTGTCAGAGCGGGATGAGCCGCACCGGAGGACCCGCGATCTGTGGGAATTCGCTTCACTTTCTCGAGCTGGGAGTGCCATTAAGGCTGGAAAAGCAGCGCTGGAATTGGCGCCCTGCGAGCCGCTGGTGTGGGAAGTCCCGGAGGTTGTAAAATAAGTCAGCGGGAGCTAAAACACAGGAGCTTGGAAAGAAAGGGGAGAAAGAGACCAACCTCCGCAGCGCTCGCACTTTATGGAGTGTTTTCTTACTTCCCCCCCTTAGGGGGCAGAGCTGGAGGAAGTGGAGAAGTGAAGCCCTGCTCTGGAAGCCTCCCGAGGGGTTCTCGGGGGTTTGTGCTTGGGGAGCAAGCCCGGGAGATGCTCCCGGGGCGGGGGGTAGCGCTGGTTTGCGAGGTGCTGAGATTTTGCACCCCTTTTTAAAGGGGACAGGAAAGAGGAGTCCAGAAAGAGGCTGCCGGCAGCCTCTGGTGCTTGCTTTTCTATCGCGATGCTGCTTAAATCTTGTGCGGTCCTCCTGGAGCCCTTCAGAGCATTTGAATGCTGCCTTTTGTTTCTAGCCCTGATTATCTGAGATCAGCTGAAATGACTGAAGTGATGATGAACACCCCAGCTATGGATGAGATTGGGCTAAGCCCCCGCAAGGACGGCCTGTCGTATCAGGTAAGTGCTTTGCCAGCTTCTTAGGCAGTAATCCCCTATGGAATTGCTTGGGCTGGACTGCAGACTTGGTCTAATGTACCTTTCCATAGCCTGACCTAATCGCAGGTCTTGCTGTAGTGAGAACTAGTCAACAGACTGGAATGCTTGCTTGGCAGGAGATGGTTGTCTAAAGTATCACTTGGTATCAGACCAGATTGGCAAAGGACTTGGTTGGTTCCAAAGGGGTTGAGCCCCCTCACGTTCGGTGTTTATGGGGGCTCGGTGGGAGACAGGGGGAATGGTTAAGGAAGGGTTTGCACCGCTCACTGGACCGAGAGGGCTCTTGAGGTATCTGCAGCATGGCATACAGATGACCTGCCTAGAGCAAGGGAGAGTTTTTATATGGCACTTAGAACTTTTTGTATCTGTTTCTTGGTTATCCAGACTCACGGTCCTATTTGAGACGGTAACACTCTTCTGTAAGACATGGTGAAGCCCAGAGACAGCCTAAACAAGCCTTGAAATGTCACTGGGGATAGCAGTGCCTGAAGGCATGAGCTGCATTCATTCTGAAAGTTCTGAACAATGTAATCAGCTATTAACCTCTAGATCAATGAGTGGGGTTAAGATGTGGTCTTAGAAACTAGCTTGAGCCTTAATCCTTTAGTTTCAATATCCTTTTCACTTCTTAGCTTGTAGTTAATCAAGGGGCAAGTTGTGCATCTTAGCCTACTAGGTCCATGTTTTCCTGTTCTTCCAGGAGACTTCTTGATGGGATTTAACACAGGCGATGTGTGCGTGCAGTTGGCTCGCATCTGGTCTGTGTGTTGGGTGACTCTTAACTGGCAGATCCCGATGCAGGGCTCTTCATTTGCAGATGTTACACAACCTGCACAGAGGCAGTTGCTCTAAGTGTGCATTCAAATGAGGCATGCTGTTGTAGCTCATTTTCCAGACGTAAATATGCAAGTATACAAGGCAGCAGCAATGCACCGAAGCATGAAATCAACTGAACTTAGGGGCCTCCGGCCAAAGCCATGGGGAGGAAGAGGGGCTGCGTTGTTTTTTTTGGTCAGAATTCTGGATCTGGGTAGTGGAAGTTGTTTGGTTTATACCTGTGCTGTGCCTCAGTGCTTGAGTTAGTGGAAAGCATATAGCCTTTCTTTCCTATAGAGGGACTGTACAGCAGTGAGAGTGTTTGTTAAACCTGAAGCAATCAAACTGGCCTGTATGGGATGCTCAGTTGTCTTTTACGGTCACCTTATGAAGAGGCTTAACTCATTCAGGTCAATGCTTCTATTTACCTATACAAATTTTCCAGTGAGAAGCAGGATGTAGGTGCCCTGCTTGTTCTAATGATTACTTCAGCTAGGTTTTTTCCCTGATGCTAATGACCTTGATAAGTCTACTTGGAACAATTGGGAAACAGGCTTGTTCAGTGTTGAGTAGATCATCTGAACATGAAGGTATGTGAGTCATAAATGCTGGCAACTCATACCTATGCAGGACTTTTGCATCCTGGATCTCTTCTCTACAGTGGTCGAGTCATAGATGGCTTCTTTCAAATGCCTGCAATAGCTGGGGACTGCCTGTCGGTGCTTCACCTTGATGTAAGCCAAACTGATGGCAGGAATGGGTGAGGTGTTGGAATGGATGATCCTGATGGAGTACTAGCAGCGTGTGGGCTGTGTACAAGGTCTGCTTCTAAATCAGATTAGTGTAAAGAGGATTGAGGAGCAGGCTCCTGCCTTCCTTCTCTGGCTGAGGATGTCACGGTGTAAATCAAGGTAAGTTGAAAGCATCCTCAAAGGGCTGAAAACTCAAAACAGCAAGGACAAATCTGATGTAAAGCACATCATGAGCTCTTTGTTCTATCTCAGGCTTCGGCACTTTGTGCTTCATCTCTCTCATGGAGAGAGTTTGGTACATGGAAAACTGTATGCTAGTCTGAGGGCTGTAGTGCAATAACTTAAAACCAGACAGGGCTGCTGCTGCTCCTACACTGGAGCTTGTTGTTCTAAGCTGCAACATCTTCCCCTGCTCATCTGCAGCTGGGCACTTGTGGTGTGAGTGTAGCAGCCTTTGGCTGACTATGAGAGGCAAACTTCCAGTTCTGAAGGTTTCTCATGTTCAAGTAGTAGAACTGGGATTTACTTTGCTGCAGAGATGACCTCAAGCCAAGGTTCAGAATACCCCTCTTCAGGCTGTGCAGAGCATGGACTGCCTGGGAGGTGGTCCATAAGATGCTAGCTGTGAGCTTGGGGGCTGCTTCTGCCACCGTGTGCAGACATGAAACTGTCTGGAGCAGAGGAAGTGGGCAGCAGCTTTGTGGGAACTGTAAAGCACATTAGTATCTGCTACAGACAGACTTGTCCTACCAGCAGTGTGGTTTTGCCTTTACTTGGAAGCAAACTGAGGAAACTAACTCATACCCTGAGTATAAACTTCAGCAATCTGATTCCTCTGTCTTGTGGAGTTCACTGAACTTCAGGGCTCCTGTCTGTCTCACTGATCATGGAGGGAACTTGGCTTGTCAGCTTCTTCCTTCTGCCTTCTCTACCTCCTTGCCTTTGCTCATGGTCTGGAGTGTCTGCCTAGAGATCAGCTGAAGCTGTGCACCTTGCCCCAGTGAAGCTTCCTGGCCTTCGCTGGGCTGTCCATCATTGCTTTTTAAGCACTGATGTGAAAAAGCTCAGACTGCAGGAGTCATGTGTGTAGGCTTAGTAATTTGTATGTTTCCACTTGCAAAACGCACTTTCTCAGCATAGAAATATCTTTTCCCAGTTAATATGCAAAGTGCTTGTAAGCTAATGTGCTAATTTGAAAATCTTTCTATGTAAAGCAGCTTTTATTACTGTATTTGTGCTGTAAAGCTGCTCCCTGAGCCCCCTGAAGATGGTTTAGCCTGAGCAGAAGTGAATGGTGAAATCAGGGCATTAATCTCGGAACAAGGTGGCATAGACAAAACAGAAGATGCAGCTTTAGAGATGATGTCATGCTGGGTCTTGTGCCTGCAGTGAAGAGCTATTTCTGGATCTTTAATAGATGTCCCATAATTCCCATGGGACTTGCTAAACAAAAAACTCCTTGAAATGCAACTGATGGTTCAAGATGCCCCTGCTACAAACAGATGTGCTTCACTGGCTTCCTGCCTGGCAGTCTCACCGAGCTGGGTCCTTTTCACTGCCAGTCGGAGCTAATCTGCTGTTTCCTATTTCCTAGCCCTTAGATATATACCTGTTCTCTGAAAAGCCTTCTCAGCACTCTGGCAGCTTGTCCTCTGCTGCCATAGCACAGCAGCACAAATGATGCTACAGAAACCAAGGCTGAATTAATCATTTCGTGGAGCTGTTAAGAGGTTGCCTTGCTTCTTGGAAGTGGAGCTCGGTCTGAGCACAACTGAAATCACTTTAATGCCCAAAGTGTTTTATTTTGAGCTAATGCTGTGTCCCGAGTTGAGTGTGCTACTTTGCTGCAGGCTGGCTTGCTGGTCCTGTGGGACCTTAGGTTCCCTTTTAGGACATCGGCCTGTGGAGGCTCAACTTGCCTCATGCCATCAGCTGGGGTTTGGTTGTCACGGGGAGCTTGAGCTCTTTAGGTCATGATCACATCATGCTGGTATCTGTCTAGGTTAATCACATCTACAGTTAGCTGTGAATCATGCCAGACTGAAACTAGGTAAATAGGCTTAATACTCTATCCGGTGTCTATGGTGAAAGCTCGGATTGTCTCTGGTGGGGAAGTAATAATTGGGGGTATGCAACACCTTCACCAGCACCTGTGAAGCACTGACTTTCCCAAGGAGCTGTGGTGCTTGATGCTGAGGGGTTCAAGCTGTATCTGCTATATCCCCCCCAACCTAAACTGTGGGACTGACACATTACAGATATAGGGGCTGATGGCAAAGGGTGGAAATTGAGCTTCCTCTAATAGCCTTGCTTGCTTGTAGGTGCTTCATGTCTGTGCAGCCTTGATTTGTGCAGGGGAAGTCCTGTCATAGAGCTGATGCTCACTGCTATGGAAGCTCTTGAGACTGGGCTGCAGAAAGATGGGGTTAGCAAGCGAGTTGAGGATAACTTGCTCATACAGCACATCCGGTGCATGTTACTAGACAAGATCAGTAGACTGAGTCAATGTGTGTTCCAGGGTCTGGGATGTTAAATGATGGCAGAAGCAGGATATGGGGTAAACAGAGCCAAAACTCATCATGTTTGCAGCCATGCTATGCAAAAAAAGTGTTCCACTGAAATGCAAACTGAAGACAGCAGCTCGTTACATCTCTGTGCATGTGTTTTCCTCCCTGCTTGATGCCTTGTTCCTCTGATGGAAAATTGCCGTGATGTATGAAGTTTCCCTGCCACTGTGTTCCAAGATAGGACAATCTGTGACTGGGGAGTTGTCATATTTCATAAACCTGAGTCTCAGGCTGCTGTGTGCATACTAGATGGAGCTCTCTTTCGAGTCATGGCTGCTGTGTGAGTAAATATAGGCATTAGCACTGTTAGAGCTGGAAAATTCCTCCAAAGAGGGCACTGAGAGATGATTTAAGTATTTCCTGAAGTGAGCTTGCCATGCTTCTCAATGGCAGTAAAGTTTTATTTTGAGAGCTGAAATGATGACCTGGGATTTGGAATATTGGCTTGATACTGCTGACGAGGCACAAAACTTAGCTTCTTTTTTACTGGGAGGGTGAGTGATATGTGTATATCAGGGCACATTCTGCACCTGAAGTGGTATGCCTCTCAGTATAGACTTCTCAGTCTTGGATAGTATTACCATAGTTGAAGCAAAGCTTTTTTTCCCCCCAAGACAGTAACTTAATTTGGAAAGATCTCTTTGCTTTAGTCTCCCTGCAATAGAATTGAAATAGTTTTCATCCCCATGGGAGGGGAGACAAGCATTTTAACTATGGGTGTTGGTATGGAGGACACATGTGGAAGTTGTTTTGAATTTACAAGTGTCAGCTGGATTATCATAGTGCTGAGCTAATCCTCTTAACTGTCTGACATCTCTCCTGCTTTTGGTGTTTCTCCATTCCCGTGAATGCTGAGAAGAGGGTATGAGCCTCCCCATGGGCAATGAAAACTTTCCATTCTTGTTGCCAAGGCTTCATTCAAGGATAGAGCTGGATCATCTGAAACAGAGGCAAACATGATCTAAAATCATTTCAAGCGTCTGTTTCAAGTTCTGCTTTTCACTGCGCTTTCCAGCTGCGAGGCAGGAGTTTGGTTGATTTGTAGGTGATCTGGATCAGTCCATGAGGAGAGTGGCTCCCAAGACACTATATGGAGTGGCCTTCGTTTGTGTTGAGTAGTGCAAGAAGGAACATATATGTCCTCTTTGGGCTCAAAAGGTGTTGAATGTATCTCTCCATGGGCTACAGAAGGGGGGCTCTGCAGAAGCAGTTACAGCCTCTCATGCTGCATCAGCATGGATGTGTAAGAGGTCTTTGAACTGCTGCTAAGTTTGGTTTTTGGTAGCCTTCACAACCAGTTGGGGGCTGTCACTTGTCTTCTACATCAAGTGACCAGGTCAGCTAGAGGTGGGCATCTGCTTCACTTGTGTGCAAGGTGTCTCCCTCTGATGAACAAGGTGAAGCTACCCCTTGCTGTTAGGCTCTTTGGGTTGTGGGGAGATGCAAAGTCTTCCTCCCACATGCGTGAGCTGGGTACTGTGAGCAGAAAGGCTCACAGTCAGGCTTTGCTAGGCAAGCTGTCCTGGCTGCTGTGCAGAAGGGTGCAGAGCTCACAGGTCAGAGCTGAGCTGCAGCATTCCCAGTGAGGACCTTGCTGCAAGCTTGAAAGCTGCTGTTTTTCCTTCCCATTGTGTAAATCTGGAGTGAGACCAGATTAGGCATATGGGGTCAGCAAATGCAGCATGCCACTGCTGGTGCGGAGCAGCAGAAAACTGATGCTTGCTTGTTTTAATAGTCTGTCAGTGCAGCTTATTTTGGGGTGAGTGGGGAAGCCGGTTTGGATTGACTCTTCCATGTGGCTTCCCCAGATGTGCAGCTCAGTCTTAATCTGAAACCCTGTTTTCTTTGGTCCCGATGCTTGGCCTGCCATGACACCCTGCTTGTCACATGTGAGGAAATCTGCCTTTGTTGTAGTTTTTCCATTGACCGTCCACACCCCTTGGAAGTGCGGTTGCAACATCTCCCTTCATGCTGCCTCGACGATTAAAAAGCATGACTTAGTGGAAAAAATCCTGACCTCCTTGGGTTCGGCCTGTCCTGCAGCTGTTTGAGATAAGATTGTGCTGGGGTTTTTTAGCGTTAAAAGAGCTGCACACCACGTTTTGTGGGCATTTGTTTGTAAGGAAGTGACTGCTACTTAGTTTCTGGAAAAAAAAAACCTGGCAGGCTATTTCCAAAGAAATTGCTCCAATTTGACCTAATGTGCTTAAAATGATAGCAGCCAAAGGTTAGCTTAATTATTATACTCCTATTTTTCTTGCACAGGAGGCTATTTTCATGACATTATCAGCTTATGTAACCTCCTGAACCACACTTCTTTTTTCCATTGCAACCTTCTAAACCGTGTAATGTCAAGGGTATTTTTTTTTCCTATCCTGAGTTTAGATAATGAGTTGATGCTTAAAAGCCACGAACTGAACTTCCAGTAATGCACCACATATCTGAAACTGCCTTTGTTTGGCCAAGCAGAAGCCACAAAGCTCGCAAGAAACAGTTGTGCTGGGGGGGGACTACTAGCAAGTAGCTTATCCTGCAATGCTCACGTTCATATGGCCACTCTCAAAGACCTCCCTTGCTCTTGTGCACCTGAAAAGCATATGGAAGGTGGATGATACAGTGAGAGCTGGGCTCCTGCACCACCCTGCCCAGGACCAAATGGATGTGTGTGAACAGCCCTAGTTGTGCAATTCCTTCAGTTAACCTTGTCTGACTGCATTAAGTAGTAACCCAATGGCTTTGTCATGTTGGTAACCTGGTTGTGCCAAAGCTTTGGATGCTAGGAAGAAGCTGGACAGTAGAACACTGAATATATTGACAAGGAGGTAATGGTGTTGTTAGCTGCTAGACTGGAGAGCAAGTTGGTGCAATGCTCCACTTTGGGGTTTGGGCCAGGGCTTACCAAGGTGGCGGGCACCTGCACGGTTGGTATGAGGAGAATGATGCTTCATGGTTAATGCTTAGGGTTCCTTGATGGGGAGCTTTTGTAACTGGAACCACAAAGATCAAAGCACATCAGGTCTTGCTGTCAAACTGAGGTACTTGCAAGCAGCATGCCTGAGGCTCGTAGTGCTGTTCCCTGCAAAGATGCTCTTACAGCTCACTTGAATTCAAGTACAGTGCTTGACTCCTCACCCCATCTGCAACCATGAGGGGAAAACACATTTTGTCATTATCTTGGGTGTTTAAAGACACCTATCATGCGAAATGGGCACTCTGATAAAATTGTTTAAAATAAAGAGGTGGTAATTGTTTAATATTCTGGTTACCAGCCACAGGGGTTCTGATGTGGCAATTGGTCCTTGTCATCTAAGAGTGCTCTTCTGGATGAGCTGGGGTTTGAAGCTGTTCCCCTAGTAGGGCATCCTTAAAGTACCAGCAACCTCTTCGGTTCACATTGTGATCTGAGTCATGCAAAGCGCCTGCTAACGCTGCAGTTGGCAGTTCTTCCCGTTCCCATGTCTTTGCCTCAGTTCAGAATCAAAGTGTGCATACTGTTGGCACTGCCAGCAAGTATGGGCTCTGGTGCTGCTGTACTGTATGAGCTTGTGCATCCATGTGGAATGGAATGGGTAAGGTACTGCTCTGTGCATCTTGGGGTGCTGGATATTCCTCATTCCTTGCACAAACAGTATAGTGCATAATTGCTGACTAGGCTGCAGGTACCTCCTGACTGAGGAAATATGGTTCAGTCTCCAACCCATACATAAAATGAGTGGCTTTCTGCTGAGTTTGCTGAAGTGTGGTAGCTGTAGCATGCAGAACACTACTAAAATTGCCTCTAAAATGTAGCTGAACTTCTTTCAGTCTGGTGCTGTGGCTCTGGAGAGGTACCAGATGCAGGCCCTTGCTGCAAGGGTATGGATTGCCGTAGGTGCTGGGATGCCATGTGCATCCCCTCTAGCAGCAGAACCTGGAGCACAAGCCTGTTCTGTGCAGCTTGACCAGCAGCAGGAAATGAGATCTCAGATTGTCTGATCGAGATAGCTCTGTGTGCAAACTCATGAGCATTAATGCAGAAGCAGTGGGTGAGGGTGAGGTGTGTTTGGATAAATATCCAAAAGGGCAGATGCCTATTTGCTGAGCGCTATCCAAGCAAGCATGTGCTTTGGAAGCCTCTTGGGTAGCGCTCGTTTCCAGTACTCAGAGATTAGAGAAGCTTATTTCCAAGTTCAAGAGTCTTTCCGTCACCCAGTGGTTTACTTTGTGCCCAGACCAGTCTGCCCTGGGGACCCCAGTGTCTTGAGTTGGGTTTTGGCTAAGACTGCTTGAAGGCAGCCCCTCTCACAGGCTGTTTCTTGGCTCTTTCAGATCTTCCCCGATCCCTCCGACTTTGACCGCTACTGTAAGCTGAAGGACCGCCTGCCCTCCATCGTGGTGGAGCCGACGGAGGGCGACGTGGAGAGCGGTGAGCTGAGATGGCCACCCGAAGAGTTCCTCGTGCAGGAGGAGGAGGAGGAAGAGGAGGAAGAAGAGAACTGTGAAGATGCAAAGAAGGACAACAAGGAGCAATAAATGGCACCAGAGGAAAGGCAAGGGACTGCACCCTTCTGAAGGAAGAGCCACGCTTCTTTTGAAAGTCTTTTTAAAGGAAAAGACAAGTTCAACTTTGCACCTGCGAGATCTTAGTTATTTTGTAATTCTCTGTATTGAGAACTGAAGCCCTCGGTGTCACCAGACCTCCTGAGGAAGGAAGGAAGTAACGCAGAGAAATGTTTGCTGTTCTCGAGATCATTATCTGTATTTTTCCGAGGTGGAGGCAGCAGTGAAATTCCAAGCACATGGCAGAGGGTGACCATGCGAGGGACCGCTGGAGGGGGGAGCTCGGGGAGGGGGAGGAAAGCCAGAGGCGGCGGCAGCGCTCGGTACGGAGCTGCCTCCAGCTACAAGCATGAGAACAGAGCTGTAATCCCTCAGATTTGCCTTTCTTACAGCTTCCATTTGTGTGTCAGGGGGTGGAAGGGTGTCCGTAGTGAGGAATGGCTGAAGGCTCTACTGTTGAGGGGCCTGTAGCTCTCCCCAGTTTGGCACCTCCCTAGGGTAACGTGAGCGTCCGTAGGAATAATTGGGTTTCTTGCTCTTGCTGTTGAGCCTATTTTCCAGCCACTTTTCCCAAAGCTGTTTTCTTCCCCTCTGCCTTTAGACTCTTCGTTGCTGATCAGCTGTATTTGCAGGGTAATATTAGGCTGCTGCTTGTCATCTCTACTGCGAGGCCCTAGTTTATCTTGCCGGTGGTTAGTGTGAGGTAATGCGCACTGGATGGAAAGATGCTTTTGTCTGCAGCAAGAGCTCACATAGGTTTGAACACCTCAGATTTTCCTCTCCTATTTGCTGAGGCTGCTTTGATCTCCTCTTGTACAGCTCCCAGAGCCAGAGAGTGGAGGTTAAGCCTCCTTACCTTGGTGTCCGCGAGGCTGTAGGGTTTTATGTCTCCAGCTTGCTGGTCAATGGCCTTGAGAGAGCTGGGGTGAGGGATCTCTTCCAGCTTTGCACTGCAGGACAAGCTGGTAGGGGTGTGCATAGTAGGGAGCGCTGCCAGACCTGAGGTAATCCAAAGATGAAACACTTCGATCTAGTGTGGATCACCAGTGGGAAAGGGGGGTTTGCAGAAGGGGTCTGTTGGGAGAGGATTAGCTTGGGTGTCCTGAGACAAGGTGTGGTTTTGCTTCATAGCAAGGGGAAAACATTCATGAGCTGCAGAGTGGCTTGCAGAGTCTGTGGTTGTGTCCTCTTCACCATATCCTGCTTCAAGGAAAAGTCATCTGTCTCTGTTTGGGGAGGAGGCCAGTCTGCTGCCAGACACAGTAACCTGCTGCTTGGCTGGAAAGAGATCTTGCAGCTTTGGGGACCAGCTTGGGAGCCAATTGGTCTTGGGCTAGGATGAGAACAGGTACCACCTAAACCAAATCTGGGGTCATGGAAGAGAAAAAGAAATGTCAAGGCCTTAACCAAACTTTCATAATAATCCCAGTGCCACCCTCCCCCTTTGCTTATAACTGGTTCCATTTTTAAAACCTATTTGGACATGTGTGTATTTGTATTTTTAATACCTCATGAGTAGTAAAACGCTGGTGGGGTTGGGAACTGCTTTTAACATATTGGCAGGATTGTTTTAGTCTTGTCTTGCTCGTGTTTAAACATAATGGCAATAATTTATCAGCTCTGCATAACTGTTTCGGACAGATAGGAGTTTGGAGAGGAGTTAGCACAAAGCAGGAGAAATTCAGTGTTCCTACACTGCGGCTGGTCTCCAGTCCAGCAACGCAGACCCGGTTATACATGCTCCCTGCCTGTCTTGGTGTACAGTTGATCACCAAACGGTCATGATGTGGTGATACCATTTTCTCTAGTGATGGATTCAGCTGTTGTACCTGTAACACTTGTTCTAGTCTTGCTGTCTTACTGGAATGAGCTTGTACACCTGCATACCAGCCAGTCATCTTACTTCTAAGTGTTACTCTCTATTGGTCTCTACTGTCTGTACCACCAAGTCAAAGCTGTATATCAAAGATATTACCGTATGGGCAGCAGTGAGATGGCAATCCTTGGACTTTAGACCTGCTGTCTGCCCTAAAGACCTGCGTATTTCTGTCTGCATCCTTTTTTTGGAAGTATTGTGTATATTTCTATTTGTCGTTGAACGTATCTAAAGAACAAAGCACTCCAGTAAATCTCCTGTTGTATGATATACATTCTATATTTCTGTAATTCTTTTTGAGCCTCAGGGAGAAGCTAGCATTTTTTTCAAACTACATTTTTGTCACTGTGACAGTTGTAAATAAAGTTTGAAAATGCTTTCCAAATATTCTGGCTCTGTTCTTGCTGCCAAAGCGGGTTTGGGATGGTCGACCTTCCAGGTGGTAGTGGCCAGTCCTTGTTTGAGGTCTGGGTGTACTGACTTGCAAGGCTAATGCAGATATCAGAATAGACTCATGTCTATCAGATGAGTCTGTTCTGTGAACTTGGAGATGTTTCATGGATGTGGCTGACCTCAGAGAATGCCTCATGGGATTATAAGCCTAAATCAACTTAGGGTGAGGTGCGGCATTTTTGCCTCTGTCTTCCTACATTGGCTTACTTATTGCTGGGTGAAAGGCTGCAGGAAAGTGGTACTCCATCCTGGATCTGGAAAATCTGTATTTATATCTATAACTATATCTGTAATCCATGTCTACCCCTTTACGTAACCTTTCAGAGCAGGAAGTTATGGAGAGCAGAGGTTATTCATACCTGCTCTTAGTACTAATGCAGTACTGTGCATGTTCCCTCTTTGTGCTGAGTAACAAGCATGGAGAGAAGCATTGCCACGCTGAGTGCTGTAAGGGTCTCAGCTGAGCTACCTGGGCTTGTTTGTTTTGGCCGGTTTGGGTCTACAGGTCAACTCTGCTTGAGTAGTTGGTTGCATCTTGCTACGCACAGATGGCTGTGTGCTTTGGCTCATAGTGCTGCCAGAGGAAGACCTGGAGGAAATGGCATTTTGGACTATGATTCTGAACTTGTTTGGTACCAAGGCAGTGTGCTGGATGTGGAAATCTGACCCTGTCAGGATTCAGTAACTCACATTGTGCACTTAATGGGATTAAATTTTCCACTGAAACCAGGCATTAAGAAGCAGATGCCCTGGAATGCCCCTATCTTTCAGATATGTGGAGAGAAGTTTCTGTGATTTAGCAAGTAACAGACTCTAATCTTACATATGCAGACAAGCTGGATTGAGGTTAGGGTGTTATATTTACATGAGACTGGTTTAAATGCACTAATGACCCTTGGATTTAATGCTTGATTTGAGAGAATGCTTAACATGAGCCTCACAGTTCAAAGACTGATAGTATAATGCTCAACTGTCATGGATGTTTTAGACTGTATTATAAATGCAATATTAAAGCTTGCCTCTCCTTCAACCTTTAGCTAAGATGCCTTGATTCTTCTCCTCCTTAGGTGTGTATTTACTTGTAGAAGCTGTTGCACCATTTCCCAGATGAAGCACCGGTCTGAAATGAGTGAAGATGTTCAGTCCTGCCCCAGGGAGTTTCTGATTAAAATACAGCACTGGTTATGGAAACTGCAAATGAATTGAACTTGTCTGCAATGTGCTTCGCAGGAACAGGTTTTACAGGCTCGTGTCAGAATGAAGCCACTTGCTGTTTCCTGATGCATCATGCTATTTTGGGGTTGGAGCAGAAAGGATGGCTTTGAGTAGGCTCACTGTGCCTGAGGGTCTTTGTTGGATGATCCTGGAGCAGTGCTGGCAGGAGAGTGATGGGGAAAGGGGCTCTTTCCTGGTCCCCTGCTCTAGCTGTTATGGCCAATGGACTGGCATCAGCAGATGAAAATGGGCTTGTCGCTGAATGGGTGTCCCTGAGTCATCCCAAGAACTTGCTGGGTGGCATAAGGACCTTTCTTTGTACATGGAACAATGATTCTTTTCCTGGCTCTTACTTAAACTTGAGGCGTTTGTCCTCCTCAAAGCTTTGCCCTCTATTTGCAACTGATGACACAGCAAGCTGTGCAGTGCTGCCCTGCTTAGTTCAGCCTGTGTTCAGTCTCTCAAATACTTCATTTATTGTTATTGGTGTGTATCCACTTGTGGTTGGCTTTGTCAATGTATAGTCACTTTAAGCATGCTGCAGATGAGCTGTTGGCATCTGGCTTTGCATGTGTTTGGGCACAGCTAGGCAGAAAGAGCCTTTGTCCATGAGCACAAAGATAATTCACCACCAGTGCTGTACATGGGGAGCAGCCACCCCCTGGGTACGTGTCCCCTTAGTGTAGGTCTGAGTCCTGGTCTGGTGAAACCACACTCCTCCTCATTGCAAGCAACAAAAGAACCAATGCTGCCTTCCAGGTGAGCTGTCTCCTTCCCATTTTAGCACCTGTAGGAAGCTCCCAGGAGCTGAGGACATGGAGTTTCATCCCTGTGATGTTGATCTGCTTTGAGATGCCCTTAAGCACAATCAAAATCAGAACACAATCCCCCAAATGCTAGCCTAGTCACCTGTAACAAACCAAGGGAGAGAGGAGCAACGGCCTGTAATACATTTGCTCTGAGCTCTCAAAGAGCAATCATGGGCCCAAACATGTCTGTGTACATAGCAATTGTTATCCCTAAATCCTTGCTTGAGAAGAAAAGCTCGGGGTGTTTCATGGTTCAAATGATGCCTTTCTGTGTATGTTTGGACAGAAAAGGAGCTGTTTTAGGAGAGCAGATGCCTGGACCTGAGAGCAACAATGCAGCATTTAGTTATGCACGTGTCCAAATTCCCCCCCCCCTCCAGTCAGTGGCATCCATGTAAATGTGTTTGTGCTTTCAGGACCACATTGCAAATTCATGCCTACCCATCTTGCTGCAAGGTCATCACTGCTGTGCTTCAGGGTCACCTGGTGAGAAGCTGGGATAGAGGGTGGATCAGGTTGGTACCTGCACAGGAGGGCTGCATACAAAAGCATGGGGTCTCCCTTGAACTGCAGCTCTGCCCAGGTCCTCCCAGATGCCATCAGCGCCGATAGAACAGCAGCTTTGGCTTTTCATTGCTCTGGTTAAAAAGGTGTCTCCTTCCTACAGCTACAGCTATCATTCACCTTTGAAAGGCAGTGCAAGCCCAGCTGGAGAGCAGCTCTGCTGGAGTTAAGCTCCAGCTGGCCTTAACAAAAATGAAACCTTGTGAGCATTGCTGCTAGGACAGGGAGGGAAGAGGTTTCAGGCCCAACACCTAGAAAGGAACCGGGTACAGAGAAACCTGCTTTACCAAGGGGATGCCCAGGACCATGTGTGCAGGTGGTGATGGGCAGAGCTGGAGAAAAGGAGAGCTATCGCCAAATGAGAAAGGGCCTAGGGGCAGAAGGGGGAGGAGGATGGGATGGGGTTGTAAGGTGTGATAGTGGGGGGCTGCCCTGCTGAAGGTCCATGGTTTCATGCCCAAAGGACAGCCAGGATGCACCCAGTCACCTCCACAGCTCCAAATGTTCACTTGGTGGAAGCTCACCCGGAGGAAGGGGGTGAGTGGGGCTCTGCTCTGTCATGCTGTGCCAATGGTCACAGCAGGAGCTGAAATCCTGGGGTAGGTGCTTGTCGTACCTTGTGCAGTTTGGGTGCCAGAACTGGAGACAGACCAGCTGGGGAAGGACTACAGAGCCTGAAAGTGTCTTCAAGTACAATGAGCTAGTGAAACACCATCAACAGAGATGTCTTGGGTAGGGCTGGAGCACATATAAATCCACTGATGAGGCTCTGGTACCATCCAGATATGGTCATCACTACCTGGGGATGGTGGGAAGCCCTTGAGTAGGCTCAAGGCAAAAGAAGTAAGTTTTTGTTGCTTTTTCCAATCAGACTTTATCCTGTTGATGAAGAGCTTTTCCCCCAACCCACATTATCAGCTCCAGGAGAGTTATTTTGTGCTTTTTCCACATCAAAACAAAAAACCCCAGCCCCGTACTTGGGTCAGAGACCTGTACCTCACCCACCAAAGACAGCAAAGGTAGGTCAATGAGAGGGGAAAGACAGCAGTGGCTGGTGGGCCAAGTGAGCGGAGCCCAGAGAGGTGAACCCCTGCCCATCACAACAGGCAGTGTTCACAACTGACACATAACAGAGTCAAACACTATTTTGAGAGCCTTGAGGGGTGGGAAGACTGAGCGGGGTGGGGAGCCGCAAAGGAAACATGCATTTGAGCACTGCCAGCGCCGTAACCACACAGGGTTACCGTAGCAGCGACCATCAGCTTCATCTGATAAAAATAAGCAAGGAAGTCAAGTGTATGTGAGGGAGAGGATGTCAGAAGCCAAGCATGAAAATGTCACAGCAGCTTGGCTTTTCTTTTCAGTGCTTCCTTCTTTATTGTGCCCTCAGCCAGCTCAGGAGACCAGGTATTTCCTGCTTTGTGACTCCTAGAGTGTGTCCTGCCACTAACTACCTCTCTCCCAATCTGTTCTGCCTTCATGGGCACACACACTGGCGTGCATGATGCCCTGCCGTACCTGCTGGGAGCCAACAGCTTTGCTGTGAGCTGCAGAGATGGAGCTCCCCTGGGGTTGCATCGGCTGATGCCTTTGGTTATGGCCTGCGATGGTGGGGATCAATGCAAGGGAAAACATGGGAATAAAATCCCAGCATGGTCACTGCCATGTAATAGCCCGCTCCCACTGTGCTCCATGAGGAGACAGCCCAGGACTGCAGCTGTCTCCAGGCGTGCTGGGGGAGGGAAGAAGGGTGGCTGTATTAGAGGGGTTTAAACTCTTCCTTACAGGTTCTCTGCATTCAGAAGCATGAGCCAGGCGGGTTGCAATCAGCTCCACAAATATTTGTCAAGCACAAGCCTTCCTGAGCAGTGTCTGACGACTCTTTTCCACTGTGGTTGCTGCCAGCACCGGGGCTGTCAAGGCTGCTTTGGATGCTGCTTGCAGGGGCGATGACCAGCCCCTGCTTCAGAGAGAGCTGCGGTGGGATTTCCCCAGGGTAAAACAGTGCCTGTTTGGTGGCTGGCATGGCAACACCTCTGGGTCCCACAGGGTGGAGGTTAGCTGGATGGAGTTGGGTGGCTTGCTTTACCCTCCACAGCCTTTTGACACTGAATGGGTGTGTTTCACCTGGTAATGATCCAGCTAATGGGATCTGGGATACCCTTGCAAAAGGGGGATGTAGAGGGAGCATTAGAGCAGGGTCTCATGCATGAACTTGCTCTGAGGATGGGACTGAGGGCTCATCAGTCCCCATGAGGCTCAGCTGATCCATACTGTCGTTATTATCCCCTGCACTGGAGAACAAAGGAAGTCTGTAACGCTCAGTCTCAAGAGTTGCCTATCCATGGGATGCAGAGCTGAGCTGAAATGGGATTTGCTGAAACCCACAGTGCTCAGGTGCCAGCTCCTGGCTGGATTTTCTGTGGGTGCCTGTGTGCAGCACACGGGAGATCCTGCAAGTGTTCATATAGGCAGGCAAGAGCCATGCTGTGTGCCACTGTGCACCCTGCCCATGCTCCCAGATGGAAATCTGTGCTGTTCTGGCCTATTCCAGAGCCTTTCTGAGCTGCTTGCTGCAGTGTGCTTCACAGACCCTATCCTGCCCATCTGCTCCTCTCCACGCAGCATCCTTCCTAGTTTTTCCCAGTGGGAGCCCTAGACACGTGGACAGTTAAATCTGTGTAACTATAATGTGATTGGCCACAGTTTGCATGAAGTATAATATTTAACCTCAGTGGATATTCAGTGCTTTATAGGGGCTTGCCATCAGTGACTTCTTGTACCTTTCTCTTCCAATAAGCCTAAGACATTTGTCTCCAGGGGAAGTTCCTGGTGTGATGAAGCAGCAGTCAGTTTAGAGGAAACCTGATCAGAAGGAATCTCCAGGGCCACTGCCATCAGGAAAGAGTTGATTTGGCTGAGTTTCACCCAGGGAGCCAGCAAAAAGTACCCAGTTGCAGACCCTGTGATCCCACCTCTCACTCTAGCACTGGGCTAGTCATACTAACCCTTATTGAGGCCTTTCGGTTCTTAAAAGGGGCTTATAAGAAAGATGAGGAGAGACGTTTTAGAAGTGTCTGTTGTGATAGAATGAGGGGTGATGGTTTTAAACTAAAAGAGGGGAGATTCAGGCTGGATGTGAGCAAGAAATATTTTACAGTGAATGTAGTAAAACACAGGCACAGGTTGCCCAGAGAGGTGGTGGATGCCCCATCCCTGGAGATATTCCAGGCCAGGCTGGATGTGATTGTGAGCAACCTGAACTGGTTGAAGATGTCTCTGCTCATTGCATGGGGGTTGGACTGGATGAGCTTTGAAGGACCCTTCCAACCCAAACTGTTCTGTGATTTGATGATTCTATGCAGAACTGCTTCCATTGTAATTAAAACTTGGGTGTCTACTCTGAGATAATTGTTAGGTCTCCTCCTGTACTCCACAGAAGGTAAACACCTCCAGATACTGATTCATTTTAACAGCCTATCTGGAAAGAATTACTTCTTGGAGATCCTCTGGCCCTCACTAACAAAGAGGTGTAGATAACCTTGTAGTTTGCATGCCCGACTCTCAGGCAGCTGAAGCTGGATGAGCTGAACCTCACCCCTAGTTTCTTCTGTGCTTTTGCCTTGTTAGGTTTCCCCCTTCATATGTCAATGGTTCTGTTTCTATAGCGTAAAAAGGTCTATACATCTATGACCAGCCATTCTGCATCCACCCCTTGGACTGAATTCACTGTAAACTTCTTGTTCCCCAATCACCACAAAAAGGCCTCCAAATCTGTTGGTTGCTGACATGAAGTGACACAACAGGGTGAAAAAATACCCAATGGGAAACGGGAAGAGTGAAGAAAACAAGGTAAGAATGTGCAGTGAAGACGATGAAGGTGGAAGGAGAGGTTGCAGGGGCAAAGCACATGCAGCTTGTGCTACCTGCATGTTGATTGTGCTGGCTTAACTTGAGGGAAGAGGGAAGGGAGGAAGGCAGAACTTCACAGCAAGGTCCAGTTCAGGGCCATGTTCAATCCCACTCGCAATTGCCCACCCCATGGACATCCCATGGACTTTGATCATGCTGAAGGTCACGCATGTGCTGGAGATGCTACCTGACATAGGCAAGAGCTCTCCTGAAGCGTGGCCACGTAGCACAGACCGCCCTATAGCCTGGAAAATGTGATTTAAATAACACTGTGTCTCTGTTGGCGGAAATCACTTTTAAGTGTAAGAAAAACAGTTTGTGAGCTCATTTTCTGACCTGTCTGAACTCAAAATCAGCTAGAGAGGTTCACAAGCCCTTGAACTTCATGAGGCTCATCCCACCTGACAGAGGAAAGCAGTTAGACCAAGAAGTCTGACTTAAATACACTGCCTGTCTTTTGTCTCCAGCTGTAGAGCCTGATCCTGTTTGCTCCCTCACTCCCATGTGTGTGCTTTCCCTCCCAGTGAAACCTCTGGCTGCAGGTGGGTCTTTCAGAGTAGCACTATCTCGCTGCATGCAGCAGATTTTCACTGCAACAAGTGGTAGACAAAGACAATCCAATAACCAGGAATCACCTGAATTATTCAGGAAAAATTGTCCTTTCCTCTCTAATTTTTAATATGTAGAGTTAAGTGTTTCTCTTGAGTATTTTTCTGTTCTCACACACGCCAGTCCAAGTACTATCAGTTATGGTTTACCCATGCAGGTTGGCTGGACTAGGGTCTTCCCAGGGATGTCAAAGGGACACTGATCTTTTAACCTCCTCTGCTGGGGTCTTACAACCAGTCTGTCCCACCAGGGAAGAAAACATGGAGACCACCAGTGTGCTACAGGAAACAGCAGCTTCCCCTCTCCCCTCAAGAAACACAGGCTCTCTAACACCCTTTGAAACGCTTCTTAGGCTGAATACCCATGAGCGGTGGTGAGTAGCAGATTGCCATTCGCCCTTCATCTGGCTGCAGATGCAGCAGTGTGTGGTGATGTACAGGTAGTAAAATGCTTTGTGAGCAGAGCAGATGAAAGCCACTGTGAAAACACAGTAGGAGAAGCACTGTTAGTGAGGCAAGGCCCTTAGTGACATGATTTAGTGGTGGACTTGGCAGTCCTGGTGTAATGGCTGGACTTGATCTTAAAAGACCTTTTCTAACCTCATTGATTCTGTGATCCGATGGTATTTTCACTTTGCATCTGTTGATCCTTCCTAGGTGTAACTAGAAAGAGAAATGAGAAAATGATACCTCTGAAGTTTTATTTCTTGTCTTGTCTGCTATTTACCATGCTATATAAAGACCCGGTCTGGAGCTATTTCAGTGTTCAAGTGCTTTAAACAAAGATGTGTGGAAGAGCTTGCAGGCTTAGGACCTATTTTCCTCACTTGTCTGCCTTAATTCCCCAGACAAAAGCAAGCCTTGGGAAATGAGTGCCAAAGCATTGCCTGTGACCAGAACGCGGTGAATGACAGGCGGGAGGACAGGTTAAGGACAGGAGCTGATAACAAGCTGACTTTGCTAATTACTGGTTTTAAAGTCCAAAGTCATTGGAAAAAATGACTAAAGTTACATTTTGCACATGGAGGACAAGAAGACAGGCACGCTGGAATGTCTGAGTCACTGCTCTGAGCGCTCCTCATTATACACAGATAGAGATTTCATTCGCTGCGTTAAATATTACAGATGTGCGGAGACGCTTGGTGGCTGTCATTATGCATGTTGTTTAGCAAAAGATTTGGGCTGGGTGAGATGACCCAGTGGGCTGCAGTTAGAGGGCTTTATTTATGTGTTTATTGTTATTATTACTATTATTTGCAGGTGATTTTATTTGTTGTACTAGAATTGGAGCAAAGTCTGAAACAAGCAAACTGAAATAGTACGTGATGGTTTTCTTCCAGCCCTGATGCATGCACAGCACATGCCACAGCATGGCTCACCCACGTTTCATTCATGCACGCTTCATGCGCTTCACTTGATGTGCCCTCTACCCTGTGTCTAGACAGTGCCTGGCTCGAAACCTTGTCACAGGCTTGGTCCCTTAGGAGATACTCTAACACAGATAGCAGTGCTGCTCTGTGTGTGTGTGCCACCCCACTGCTGGCAGCCTAAGTGGCACATAGACACCAACTGTTCGTCCAAGATTCCCAGACTTGCACAAGTCAGGGTATGGATGGACCCCAGTGATGCTGAGCCCTCAGTGAGGGGAAGCAAAACCAGGGAGGTCTGTCCAGTGTCCTGGTGTGTCTGAGTGGTGTGTTAGAGGCATGGCCACCTCTGCAAGAGGATGCTGCTCTGGTAGGTCCTGGACTGTACCTGGGTAGGTGCCTCAAGTGCTCAAAGGAGCCTCAGAAGCAGTAGATACCTATGCACAGGCTCCCATGTAGATACCTATGTAGATACCTATGTAGATATCTATGCACAGGCTCCCATGTAGATACCTATGCACAGGCTACCCATGCACAGCCTCCCATGGACACATGTGGGCTTCCTGTGCAGTTCCAGGGCAAAAAGCATGTATGTTTTTGCTATGAGCCAAGTTTCCCACAGGGCACGTGGACCAGGAGCTGGAGACCCAGCACTAGTCTGCACTGAGAGGTGTAAAGATGCCCTTTTGCCAAGTGACCTCCTGGGATGCTGGTCCCGAGGCTGTGGGCAGAGTTCAATACCAAAGGCAGTGCCAGCCCCCGTAATTGGGCGCACTGATAGTGCTTTTCCTGGATTACCTTTGCACCCATGTGACTAAGCTTTCCCAACAAAGCATACGAGCAATTAAGGAGCTGAAGCCTCATTAAACAAACAAGCCCACAAAAAGGCTTGTGACAGGTAGTGCTGGTGTCTCCAGCACAATTACCCGATAAATATAAGGCTTCGGAAAAATCCAGCTTGGAAAGGTAGGAGCTCAGTTGCATAATTCCTTTAATAAGCTGTTTTGTCATAAACCATATCATAAACAGGACTGGGGGCAGGAGGACAGGAAGGAGGAGGAGGAGGAGGATGGAAGACTCCTCATACCCTCCGCAGGCTGAGGAGGCTGTAGGTTGTTTGATGGGTGGTGACTAACATCGTTATCTATTTTTTCCTCTTTGAAGTGGTGATGTTTCATCTGTGGTTTGGCCTCTTTATCCTTTTGTTCAAAACATGCCTGTTTGCTTTCCCTTTGCACCCCAGGCCCCCAGGAAACAGCGGTGGAGACCGATGCCTCCTCAGCTCCTGGACAGAAGGCAACTGCTGACCAGAGCACCTAACTGTTGCAGAAAGTGGAAAAGACAGGCAATCAATCACTTGTGGGGTGCCCAAGCCCCATCAAATATTTTAGGTGAGCTGGTGTCCCAAGGTGCTGGGTTCATCCCCCTGGTTCTGGCTTTCCACTGCATCAGGGTTTTTGTTTCAGAGCATTCATATTTTCCATCCTATGGTGGGGATGGTGCCTGCTTATTAGTATGACTGTCACCCCAAGAGGGAGAGATGCACCAGTAGTACCAACCAGACACCAGGCATCAGTAGGGCACAAGCAAGAGGGATGGAGGTGCTTTGGCTGAGCTAGTGCTTTCCAACAAAGTCCTAGGGGAGGAGGGCACTGCCTGACAGTGATTGCGTGTGCACGGACATGCCTGTACGTGTAGGAGCATCTCAGCCTCTTGTGTTTGCACACACGTGTCTCCACACGTGTATGTGTGGATGCTCAGCTAGCTCCTTGTGAGACAAGGTTTTGCCCATGGTACACAGTGCTGGGAGGGTGTGTGGGCAAGTGTGGGGTCGCTGGGTCCTCCTGCTGCTCCCCAGGGTGTACCAGAGCAAGGCAGGCCTGGATTTTCTTGGGGGAAAAACCTCTTAACAGCTTGAATGACATAAGAAATGACCTGAAACAGAGATTAGCATGAAACAAAGTAATAGAAGCTTTCTGGTAATGGCGCCCTGGAGCCTGGGTTGTTTTATGGTGACAGGTCAGTGCCATGAGATGGGCAACAAGGGAAGGAAGGGGGCCCCCTCTTCCAGCTCCTGCCTCTTTTTTCCCCTTGGGAAGGTGTTGATTTTATATTTTCCATCTGAACACTTTTTTCGCAGCTGCCACCCCAAGCTCTAAGTGGGGGTCAAGGAGGGAGTTGGACTACGAGCCCAGATGCAAAGGTACAAATTCAGCCTCAGCAATACAGACAACACCGAAGGAACCGCAGCTCCTCCTGCTTCTGGAGGAATAATTAATCCCCAGAGGTGGCTGCTGGCTGCTGTTTTGGGGAACCAGTTCACAAGTGAGAGACTAGAGCATTAAGGAGCAGCTATTAGAGGCAGCTGGGAGAGCAGAAAGGGAGGAAGGCTTGAATTTAAATGAGCATTTGAAACTTGGGGCTGGAGCTGTGAGAGGGGAATGGAGGGGGGGGATCTAATCTTTAGGTAATAAGCACTGTCCCACCTCTGCCTTATGCCAGATGCCCGGCACCCCGCAGTAACAGTCTCCTTACCAGATGCAGAAGGGAAAAAAAACCCCAAAGAATAAAAAGAGAACAGGGAAATTCTTGAGATTCTTTCCAATGGAAAAAATGCCTCCACTTATCACTCAGTGTCAACAGCAGCAGACACCTGTGTTTAAACACCCAGCCACAGCGGCAAGCCAAAAGGTAACATAGAGCCTCAGCTTCCACCTCCCTGTGTGCCTGCAAGTGGGACAATGGACTCGGGCACTTCTCCATCAGCCTGCTGGGTCTGTGGCCAGCGTCTCAAAGCCATGTGAAGGCAAGCTCAGAGGTGGTAAAGCTGGCAGCATCCCGCGGTCAGGAAATGCCTGCAGCCTGGCTCTGCGCTCGGGCGTTATCATGTGTTCCTCAGTCAGACTGTCACCTACTTACCCTCCCCTTCTCCCTGTCCTCCCTCAAACTCTTGCTTCATCCTGTGCAGTGGTAGATGCTGGTGCTCGCTGTTTTCATAGCCTGTGAGGGGGGCTCTGAAAGGGGGATGAAGAACAACGTGGGGCGTAAGCATTGGGAAACTTATCACGCACTTCCCCCCATTCGGGGATGCAAGGAATCATGGGGATGTATGGAATCTACACTCTGGGGTGAAGCTATGCGCTGTTAGCGGCAGGGTTATTTGCTCTTGTTGGTGCTAATGCATGGCCCCTCGTGTCTGCACACCTGAGCCACGTGCTGCCCATCTTCACCTCCCAAGAACGCCAGCCATCTCACATACTTGCTGCATGGGGATTTCTTGGGCAACCCAACAAAGCTCCTGCTCTTCCCACTACCCCATCCATCAGTCTCATTGCCACCCTGCACCCATGAAGGTGAGGGCGTTAATAGACTTTCCCCCAATTCCTTTCCCGCTTCTTTCAAGTTCTTGTCTGTGAAAAATACAGAAGTTTTGGGGAAGAGGACCTCCAAGCGTTACAGCAGACTTGTGTTTCCCAGTCCTATGCAATGCTAAGGTGTTGGTAGGAAGGCACTACCATGTGACAGTCCAGTCAGGGGAACACCTACTTCCCATCCCTCAGTCCTCACCCATTTCCTGTGTGAGCTTGAGCAAGCTGCTTATCTTCTACATTAATTTCTTAATTAATGCTTAATTTCAGCTTGATTCCTCTATGTGAAGAACGTAAATAGTAGTTTAATGGGCAAAGCAAAATCTCTGTGCACAAGCAAAGCAAAACAGACAATTTATTTATCACTTCCCAGGATATGTTCAGCCATCTCCTGGACAGCAGGGCTCCGTCATGTCTAATGGTTACTTGGGAAGACACAGTGTCACTCCAAATGTCCCCCCCTTTTCCCTCTTCTTCCCCCAGCTGATAATGACACGATATGGTCTGGAATATCCCTTTGGTCAGTTGGGGTGAGCTGTATGCCTGTGTCCCCTCCCAAATCCTCATGCACCCCTTCTGCTCATGTGGGGTGGGGTGAGGAGCAGAAAAAGGCCTTGACTCTGTGCAAGCACTGCTCAGTAACTAAAGCATCCCTATGTTATCAGCACTGTTTTCAGCACAAATCCAAAACACAGCCTCCTTCCAGCTACTATGAAGAAAATGAACTCTATCCCAGACAAAACCAGCACACTTGATTAAGGTCTCTGCATCCCACAGCATCTGAGTCAGCAGGATGGAAACGTTGGCTCACGCCTGCCTCCAAAACCTGGTTCATCCTGAAAGGTGCTTGCTACCTGTTACAGCAATGCAGACGTTCCAGAGGGGAATGTATAAATGTGGTGGGTTGAAACATAATCTAGAAGGAGATGTCCTTTCCCAGCGCATGTTTTACTGTTTAAAGTGGGACTCCTGTGGTCCAGCCCCACCACGTAGACAGAGGAGTCTCTTTTGTTTCTTTTTGCTAATAGAGTTGCTAACAGCATTGCTGTACCATTTGGAGAAGTGATTTTTTTCTCACGTTAGACAATGTTTTTCCCTGTGATCAACCCACTAAGCAGCGTCCGCTAAGCGCTGCATAATTCAGCATCATTTGGTGCCTGTAATGCTACAATTACTCTTCAAGGCTCATTTGCTTCAAGGTCTTCAGGCTGTAAAGTTATGGGAGTGTGGTTAGTGGATTTTCAGGAATGTCTGCTCTCTGGCAGGGGCTGGAGAAGGAAGGAACCGAAAAGAAATGCATGCAAATTCAATGACATAGCAGGAACTTCAGAGGCATTTCAACACAGTGATACCCACAGGCAAAGAAATCATAATTGTTCAGGGGAAATAAGGCCTTGCCAATCCTATGATTTTATCAGGAGTCTCATAATTTCCAAAGTGTCCTTAAAAGCCCAGCTGCTGGAGTCATCCCATTGTCAGAGAGCCTCAGCTTCCTTTTAAATGAGAAGGAACATTTTCAGCCCTTTTCCCCTCCCTTTTTTTCCCCAGAGAAAACCTTGAGAAAGTAAAATACAGAATCATAGAATATGCTGAAGGTTCAGGAATGGAAAGGAAAGAGAACCCAGGTCGTATTAAAAAAGCAGCAGAAACCAACAAAAAAATGCATAATCAAATCCCTGCTCACTCAGGGGTTTGGTTTTCAAAAGAACTCAATACCAAACCCAAACCCATTGCCCTTTATATCTGGACATCTGATTTGCAGATGCTTGCACTTGGCTGTTCTAATATTGTGTGCTTGCCTTGCAAAGGCTCCAGCAGCCTTTGGTGACTCCGGGATGGGGCAGGAGGAGATGCTGAGGCTCAACCCTTACTCTTTCCATGTCCTTTCTCCCCATTTGCACCTGTGACTTGGAGTTCTGCAGCTCCTGGGGGCATTTTCAGCCCTAAAAGCTGACACAAATGCTTGCTGCTTTGTTACCGGTGTAGGTGTCTGGCACATGGGACGAGGGTGCATGGGATGGCTGATGGAGGCCATCAGCTTCACCAGTGCCAGTGAATCTGGCGAGGCTTGAGAAGAGCTGACCTCCATGGGGAGGCTTGGAGGTGCTTTTTGGAAGGTTGGCCATGCCTTGCCCTCTGTCATAGCTGTGTAGTTAAAACCATGATAAGCACAGGCGAAGGCTGAGGGATTGTATCTCCCTGGTGTTGTGTGAACGAGGTCAGGTGAGGGGATTGAAAGCCACTTGCAAAGGCATGGTTATACTTGCAGGGTATAGCTGGGCCCTTCATTATGTGAGTAATCTTCCTGAGCGGGCTCGTGCAGATACAAGCGATGAGTAAGTGCTGCAGGGTCATGTCTGCAAGAGGAGCGTAGGCTTGAGAGCCAGCCAAAGCCTGCACATGGACGTGGGGGAGAGGCACGGGAAGGAGAAAGGCAGGTGAGAGCAGGGCGAAAGGAGTCTGCCTTGACCAGAGTACATTGCCTGCCTTTCCTAGCAGGGCCCTTATAAAGATCAGGGGTGGGATGCCTGAACTGAGAGTGAAGAGACTGCCTTTTCTTAAGCAATGCACTTCTCCATTCAGAAAACAGCACTGGGCTTTTTAGTTAGAGGCTGTGAGCCTTTACAGCACCTTGCAGCAGTACTGTACGTGCCCTCATTCCTCAGAGAGGTCACCCGAGCAAGTCTGCAAGTAAATATAGCCAGGGATGGGAAAACTTCACGTCTATAGAAGTTTCACCCGGTACTGGATCAGCACACAACGTTTTCAGCTGTTATTTTGAGCATGTTCGGGCTGAACTGGGCCTCCTAACTCCTGCAGGCAAAAGCCAAGCTTTGTCACAGGGTTTGTTCTGCTTCCAGCAGGCTCGTGGCAGCACAAGCACAAGGCTCCTTTCCTCCAGCCTTCTGAAGTAGCCCTGTGGCTAACCAAGAAGCCTCCCCATGCATGGGAGCTGGTGACTCCTGGCGAGCTGTCAGGTGTCACAGAGGAGGTACATTTGTGGGGCTCTCTCCACAGCCTTCCTGTTGGCCCAAAATACAAATCCCAGACTTCCAGAATGGATGTCCCTCTTTTTGGAAACATGAAGAGTGTCCGTTCTGCAGGCCACTGATGGAGCTGGAGCTGTTGCGATGTGAGGAGCTGTTCAACATGCAAACAAGGTACTGCAGTCTGAGCCCTTTCCTGCAGTACCTCTGAGCCAGCAGCTCTGCAAACACCCAGCGCTGTGCGGGGAGGACGCCTGCGCCCTTCATGCAGCACTGAGCTGTGATCCCCTTTGCTCTTCATATTTCAGTGGAGCCTCTGTCTCACTGCCTGCATGGCTCTGCCAAAGGTTTGGGTTCATAACGCTGCCAAAAAGTCTTGCTGAAAGGGAAGAGTGCAAATATTTCTGTTTCTGAAAGGATGCATGTTACTGCTGACAAGGAGTGAACTCTTTCTTTCCATAGACAAAACCCCAAAGGCCTGTTCTGGCTCTAAACTTCAGCCTAAGGAAAACAGCAACAAATCAGGAAAGCAGAGTTTCCTGCAGAAATCCCAGTGTTTGTCTGTCCGGTAACTGAGTGCTAATTCCAGGAATAAACCAGCTGCTATCCTTGCACACAGGCCGCAGTCTTGGAATGTAAAGAGGAAATGAAATAGGGAAAGGCAAGCTTTGCAACAACAACAACAAAACTAAATGAAAACATCATGTATAAAACCATGCCGAAGGTAGAGAGCAACAGGGGTTCTCACTCAGTGAAGCATTACATGATTGCTCTATAGGTCAGCAAATACTGCGGGTGAAACTATGGATCCTCTGAAGTTGATTGCCAAAGTTTGGAGGCTGGATCTTTCTTACAGCGTGAGCTGTACACGTGTACCTTGTTTTGTCTAAAATGCTTAGCCTGTGTTCATGCTGTCTGTGGCAGAGATGGAGTCCCTGTCCGTGGAAAAGCAGAGCCTGAGGTGCAACCAGCACTAAGTCAAGGTGTTCCTGCAACTACAGAGAGACTTCAAAGCGTAGGAAAAAGTGATCATCAAGACAGTTTCAGTTACTGATTGTGTTAAAACAGAGAGACCTGCTTACGTGGGAACTTGCACAACCCCCATTACTTTGTCATCTTGATGCTTCATCATCTTTATTGAGTTCTTTCTTGGGCAGCCCTAGGAGATGCAGCTCTCTCCTGGCACAGGTGGAGAATATAATGAGAGCGATTTACTGACACCCCTTAGCCTGGCTGCTCTTGCCTATAAAAACCCTTTGTCTTCAGCTGTGGCTTAGAACTGATGGGAGACCTCCTTCTGGTTTGTCTATCTTCTATCTCTGCTTCTTCCTCCCATCAAGAGCAAAATGGCTTCCTCTGTTTAGTAGTGATGATGTGCAACCCTGAAGAGCAACATCTTGAGGTAACCCCAAATGGCTTTTAGTCATGCTGGGCTGCTTCTTGCTGCAGGCACCTGTGTACACAAGAGTTGCTTCTTAGCTTCTCTTTGCAATGTCTGCTTTACCCTCCCTTCCTGTACTCCACAGTTTTCTTCTGTGAGGCTCATCTTTTATTCTCTCTCCTCTGCCCTGCTGTTCATCCCTACTGATGTGCATGATGCCCATGGGTAGGGCAGGTGGAAGGTGTCTGTTGTCTCCACCTGGGGCACCTTTGGGCCCTGCTGGTATGCCCTCATTTTGCAGGAGGCTCCTCTCCTTACCCATGCGGAAGGCACCAGGCCTCTTTGTGGCATGACACTGACCTGTGTGCATCAGAAAGCAGAATGGCTCTGGAGAAGAGGCTACTTTGGACCAGCTGAGAAGCTGCCATCCCTCAAAAGGCTTAAAAGCTCCTGTTGTTGGATCTACAAGGGCTTTAGAGTGCACTTGCATCTTTTAGGTTGCTAGAGAAAAACAATCTTCCCCTGTCCTTTTTGCCTTTACTGCAGTTGGAAGATGCCTGTGGAGGGAGAAGCTGCTCTCCTAGCTGTGTGTGATGCTCCCATAGCAGGAGGTGGGAGATCACTGACTTCACAGTGTTTTTCGCTTTACCTCCCTGCAAAGTGCCACCGCTGGTGGGGAGCAGGGCTGGGGCAGCCTGCTGGGATGCTTTGCTCTCTCTTCCTCTCTCCTGGAAGCCTCCTGACTGTATGGGAACAATGGGATGACGTGACTAGAGCCCAGTAAATACTAATTCCCCTTTGAGGCTGTCGCACTGAACAGGAAGTGCAGACAGCCCCAGAATAGAAATTCAGTCCTTGCCCTGCTCCTCAGCAGAGATTGCTCCCAAATAATGCCTCCTGCCAGACCCCTTATCTCATGGCTGAGCCACTCTGCCCCTATGTTGTTCTCCAGGCCAAGTGCTTTGGTTGGACCATGCCCATAGGAAGGCCATATCCTACCTGGGGCAGGCAGAGAGGCGGTTTCTGGGGCATGCCTTGCCCTGGCAGAGCTGGGGCTGGCAAGTGATGTTTCCTACGAGGATGCAGATACATTGGGAGGGTGGCAGGAGCCTTGGGAAGCTGAATCAGGAGGTGACACTGGTTTTGAGGACAGGTCACAGAGGGGAGGCTGTGCTGCTCATGTTATCTCTGCTCTGCGGTGGGATGCTTGTTGCCAGAACTACAAGTGTCACATTGACCTGCCAGCAACCTACCCTCTCAAAACTCATTTTCCCTTTTGCATCGAACAGCAGGGTGCTAGCACATGAACTTGCAATTGCTGATGGGCTGCTGATCCTTCTGCAACATGTTTACTGGGACATCTCTTGAAATCAATAGACCATTAGGAAGTACCCTGTACGGAGTGAAGTGTTGATCCAAGTGAGGATGTACCCCGGGTGGAAGGTTTGGATGCGTCGGCTGAGTTGCTGCTAAAGCAAAGCATTCATGCCTGCTCCATTTAAACCACTCTGAGTACTCGGAGTAATCCCCTTGCTCCCTTTGCTTGTCCTTCATATTTAGTGTATTTGCAGTTCCTGTAAGTGTGCATGCTGCATTTCAACGAGGCTTCAGCCATCATGACCTTATCGTGCAGGCCAGCTCTGACGTGACAGCGCTGGATTTTGGATGTCAGAAGATTAACTGATGCTGAGCATGTGCTGGTCAGTGTTGCAGAGACAGCACTGTGCAGGTCGGTGATGCTGGGTGGGTGCAGAAGCGTGGTGGTGCAGCATGGCATTGCATGTGGTCTTGAGGACAGCCAAGCCTTTGCAGGGAAATCCTTTTGTCCCCCAAGCTTTGACTGTCTTCCTGTAAAATGAGGGTAATGGGTCTCTATCTGTTAGGCTGAGCGGTTTGGAGCAGGTACCATCACCTTGTCTTTGTGCAGTAACAAAGCCCCTTACACTGGGAGTGAAGTGTTACCTGCAGCACTGGCCTCTGGTGCAAAGGCACGAGCCACGCTGGAGCCAGAGCCAAATCTTTGGTGTTGAATTCAGTAGAAAGTGCTTATGCTGGGCTCACAAGAGACAGTTACAAGAACAGTGTCCCAGTGTCTGCAGATAAGTTCCTCCTCTGGGTGAAGAGGGATGTGATGATGCTTTCCTGGGGCACAGGTTGGCTTTCTAGCTCAGTGACCCATCAAACCACAAAGTTTCCTTGAAGACTGATGCATAGCTGGGCTCCAGGCATGCAGATGGACTATGGAGTCGTAGGCACATCCTCCTCTGCCACCCTGGCTACCTGATTGCACAGGAGATCTTGCCTCTACCCATCTTGAGTCTCTCCATCAGTGTCTGTATTGCTTTAGGGTTTGCCAGGTTAAAAGAGTTCAGAGGGCTGGGGGCAGGCAAACATCTTCCCTTTGTGCCACTGGTATGTTTTAGCACAGTTTTGGCTGGTATTTCCTAGAGTTAGCTCTGAGCAGCTAAATGGAAGCAAAAATGTGTAAGACCACATGGAGGAAGAATATTTGCTTTGGTAAGCCCCAGTCTGGCTTTTTGGATGGCTCCAGACAGCTCTTTAAAGACCTGTTTCTAGGGGCTTTATCTAAAAATGGGGACACCCTGATCTCAGCTGCAGAGGACATAGCTTTGCTACACTTCCCCAGCTATCTTCTGTCTCTTCTATTGCTGTTCTTTAACTTCGGCCTTGCCACCTCCTGACTGCTCTCCAAGAAGTGCAGTAGGTAACATGCTGCTTTCTTCTGCAAATCATGCTGGTACCTGCTGATGAAAACACTCGTACTACTGTACTGCTGGTAGGGGAAGTATTTTCTGCCTTGGCACTCAGGATCTACCAGGCTTCCTTTGCATATGTAGGTAGCCAGGAGGGTCACCAAGCTTGTGAAGTTTCAAAATGGGAGCAAGGTTTCCTAATGTTTCTGATACCCATCTCTAGTCATTATTTTAACCAAAGGAGAAGGGATTGAGCCTGTTACTTGTGTGAGACCTGAAGGTGCATCTAGTTTTCAGCAAGCAGTTTGTAGGAGAGTGGCCCCCTGGCAGTTAGGCTGGCGTAAAGGAACATGTTGCTGCATCCTCTCATGGCTGTGTCTGAAGTTTGCCAGTTACAACACAACTTACTCTCAGCTGTAATTGTATCCTCAATCACCCATATTTCAGTGCATATTTCCAGCTTCCACCATGTGGGAGGTTAAGTGTGAAATGCTGAGTGTCTTCTCCCGTTCACCCTCAAGGTGATGAGCAAGGAGCAGATCAGCTGAGGAGGAACAAAGGAACACGTAGAGACAAGGAGATGTGTTTTCACACTGTTTCTCAGCTGAGATTGGAGGAGAAAGAGCAGAGCCCGAGCTTTTGTGTAACGTGGTGATCTGTCAAGAGCAGTGGCAGCTGGGAACTGCATGGCTCAGGAGTCTGGGTAATGGGCTGTGCAAGTCCTTCACCTCTGGGTTCAGTGTTCATCCAGGCACTGGCCAGCAGTGAGGAAATAATGTTGCTGTGGAAATAAAGGGCTTGCTGCTGCTCCAACAAGCCCTGTTCCTGCTGTGGCTCCTAGCAAGTGCTATGGGAACCAAGAACTTGTTCTGGCAAGACTGTTGTTGCTCTGTTGAAAATTACCAGGACAAATGGCCCCAGTTAAAGCAGCTGACACTGGTGTGCACTTGTGACCTGGGCACACAGATGTCTTCTCATCTGTTTGGTGCCAGATGAGGAAATGTGTGTGCTCAAAAGAACTGATGGGCTGGATATCAAAAAGCAGTAACCAGATGAGTTGGCGAGGCAAGGAGTGAATGGAAGAGTGTTCACATGGGCAGATCAAACCTTGTTGGTTGTAGCTGGGAGTCTGGAGAATAATCCAAGATTCCAGCCAAGTCCTTGATGGTCCTTTGGTGGGGAAAAAAATCACTTTCATCATCAAACGTTGGTGGAAACCACACTCTTGTTACTGGTACCTTATCAAAATGTTGTGCGGGATCCTGGAGGAATTTGCCCCTAAGATGGACAACCTCCTAGCTGAAGGACCAGCTGGCTTGAAGTTCAGAAAAGGGGCGGTATAAAGACCATTTGCTATTCAGGAGAGCACCACGGAGTGCTGAGAAGGTGGCATATGCCTTTGGTGACTTTGCAAGCATCAATGGTGACAAGGCATAAACTTCCCTGAGCAAGGCTGCAGTTGGCTGGAGGTGATGAAAGTGCCAAAAGATTGGTCAAAGTGTGACTGCCTTAGTGGCTGTGGGTGAGGATTGGAATAATGGGCTTGACTTCAGAAGTGTGAGACAGACTCCTGCCTGAACGCTGGTTTGTATCAAGAGACACTGGAAAACAAATGTTCAAACAACCACTGATGGAAGAATCTACAGAAGGATGCTTTGTAGCCCTCACATGGGAGAGTAGTTAAGTGACTGCTTCACTGATGAGGCTGGCCTAAACAGATGCTTGCAGGAAAACTGAGGAAAAACTTTAGGAAAGAGGTTCAGGAAGAACACGTGATTGAAGATGAGCATAGATCCGAGTGTTTCTTTCACCTTAATCCATATTGGTGCAGTAGCCAGCCTGTGAGCAGTCTTTCTTTTCACTGGACTTTGAGCAACCTGGTCTAGTGGAAAGTGTCCATACCCATGGCAGAGGATTGGCACTGGATGATCTCTAAGATGCACTCCAACCCAAACTGTTCTACAATTCTGTGTTAGATATAGAGAGCTAATATGTGAAGGCAGAGGTAATATCCAGATTGGCAAATAAATTCCTATGCAGATCTTGAGAGACTGCAGCACTTTACCCTTCCTATGTGTTTTGGACACCTTGGCAAGGCAGTGACAAGGAACTTTAAGCATCGCCTGAATCTGGCATCAAGCTGAGTGTGTGACCCTACTCTAGCTGAACTTGCCTGCTTTTAGAATAGGTTGCCATGCTACAATGTGATGTGAAATTAAACTGGTGGTGCCTGGTTTGGGATCTGTGTGCTGTGTGTGAGACGGGCATGGATAAAACTTGGCATTCAGAAGCTCTCTGAAGTGGAAAGACAAGAGACGGCAAAGCACTAAACCCGTGCAAAGCATGGCTGCACCCTAGGTGGTGGTGGATGTTGGAGTGTGTGGATTGAGGGAGTGAAGGGCTGCAGCCTGAATGAGTTGATGGGGATGGTGGCTGCTGAGCAGGGCACACTGAAAGAGCTGTGATCTGTCTGAAAAGCCTTAAACACACAGGGAGTGAAGGATGAAGGGGGCTGACTGACCATTGGCTTCCATGTGCTGTTTTGTGGACTGAAATCCACAGGGGTCAGGAAAGGGGCTGGGGATGTTTGGTTTACCTTAACACCCTGTGCCAGCTCCTTCGAGCTTTCTGAGCCTATGCATCATGTTATTGCAGTGATCTTTCTCAGACTACTTTGAGCTCAGTATCGGCACAGTCTATTCATGCCTATACTGAAAATAGGATTACTTTCTACTTTCCACCTCAAGAGGCAAATTGGCATCCACAGAGCAGGATTTAAGCTGTTAAAGCATTCCTATTAATTAGTCTCCTTTCCAGCAAACTCCCTGGAAGTAGGAAAGGCAGAGAGGTAAGATGGCAAAGACTCTTATCTCTGGGGTGGGCTCTATCAGAGATATTGGGGTTTATTCTGCCTCTGAGATAAGTATGCTCACTGATGGCCTGGGGGGAGCAGGGAGTGGGGTTTAGCAAACAAAGCCCTGTGAAAAGGGAGAGCTAGAAATAGAAAGGCTGTGAATACAGAAGCCCCAGGCAGTGTCTTCCTTTGCCTGGAAGAAGCTTTCCTTATTACAAAAGCCACTGTCTGACTGGCTGCCTGATGGCCCCAAGCAGTCAGGGGAAAGCAAGGCTATCAGAGAGGCTTACTTTTTTTCCTGAGACACAGTAAAGGCCTATTCATAGAAGAAGCAGCAGGAGGGAAGGTGGGGAAGGGAGGAGGAGGGAAACAAAGGGAAGTCATACCCATAGCTTCTTTCACTTTGTGAAAACAGTCTTGGTGTTAACCCTTTAACAGTGCTTTGAGCATCATCAAGCCCTGAAGATCTGCTAATTAATCCACAGGCTTGTACAAGGGTGATAAGAAGATAGGAACTGAGTTCTGAAGGTTTTGGTGGGTTATCCATCACCACTCTACCCTTCCTTGCCCATCCTGGCAGAGAACAGTGTGGTTCTCAGCAGGAGCATCCCTGCAAAGGACAGGTCTGCTCGTATAGAATACTTCAAAGCTGTTCCAGGGAGACTGCAAGCTCTCCTACCTTTGCGTTTTACTTCAGTTGGGAAACTTACCTGCTGGTTTGAGCTTTCTGGTCTGGCCCAGGAATCTGAATGAAACTGGCTTTTAATTCAGTGAGAAACCATTCAAAACTTTGCACAGGGCCCAATCTGAGCTATGATTTGCTGAAGAAATGTTCTGCTTGTGATTGATCCTTCTGCTTAGAAGTGCTGGGATCAAGGAGAAAGTTCCTGGGACGTAACTTTGAATGGCTGAAAGGAGGTAAACCAGTTGGAAAGGAAAGCTGGGAAAGTTCAGCAATACGAGGCTACGAAGTCTCACATGCCTGTGTTGAGGGTGTTAACGTTACGTCCTGTCTGGAAAGAGTATAGCAAGTATTAAAGTGTTAAAGATCACAAGGCAGAGCCCCCTCTGGGCTCTTTAAGATGATGCTCAGTGTAGTTAAGTGTTGCTCACAGAAGATAATTTTCTGCTATCTTCCTGTGTCACTTCACGTCTCGTTTTGGGTTGTTTTTATGGAATATTTGGTATTTGTTTGGGAAAAAGCAATGGAAATTCATAGGAAATGTAAAAAAGCTGCTCTCAAACTAACTTCCAGGAATTCTCTTAAGAAAAGGTTCTGATTTTTTTTGCAGGTAGCAAAAAGTCAGTCTCACAGTCATAGCATGCTTGTGCTTATCTGTCAGTACCTTTCAGGTGAATTATGTCAAGACTTGAGATAAGGGACATCTGAAAGGCATAAGAACATGTACCATGCCTGTTGAAGTGCCATAGAGGTTGCTAACCTGGATTATTAGTACCTAAAGCATATTAGAAATGTGTATGGCTGCTAAATACAGTTAGAGCTTCTCAGGGTTCTGGGGTTGTTGAGGAAGGGTTAAGCAGAAACAATGGGATAAACTGGGAAAGGGGAAACATAAGCTGAATACCAGGAAGACATTTCTTCACGCTAAGGTCACTTGGGCTGCAAGAAGGGGAAGTGGCAGCTCACCCAGGCTGCCTTCTCCAGGCGTGCGGGGTATCTGTGGGGTTGGGGATGCAGAGGGAAGAGGGTTGGGGTTCTAAGGAGATGCAGGCTGCCTGGCTTGTGTTTTCTGCCTCTGGGTGCTTGGGAGCAGCTGAAAAGGGAAATGTCCTAATGCTTGTTCCCCCTGAGGGCTTTTACTGCAACCCAGCAGTAGGGTTGGGATCTGATATAAGAAAGAAGGAAAACCAGGGAGTGAGTAAGGAAAAGGAGTGGCCTTAAAGGAATCCATAGGAATTTTTCCTGAATAGATGACAGCCCTTGCCCAGAAGTATCTGCAAAGAGAGGTGTGAAAGGAACAGCTCTGGCCATGAATCAGGCTGATCTGGGATCCCTGTGGGGCAGAGCAGGATGGTAGGCTGAGCTTTATGCTCGGACTTGGCACTATCATGCCACTACTGCCTATGGCAGTTTCTCTGTAACATTTTCCTACAACCCCTGCCCTGGACAGGTCAGTCCATCTGATGAAATTGTGCCCCTCTGCAGCCTGATTTTGTGCTGTGGTGGAAGCAGTATGTGTTGGTGTATATTATAACTAGAGAGCCATAGGCTACAATGTGAGTATGCAGGCATAAGCTGTAGTGTGCAAATATGACTGAGTTGGAGCAACCCAACTGAAGTGGATCTAGTTATAAGGTACATAGAATGAGTGTAGTATTTTGGAAGAATTATTTTCTTCATTCCGTTTCTGCAGGTATTTAGCCCTTTGTGCTGAAGACAGTTGATGACATGTGAGAAAAAGACAACAAAGTTTCAATGAGACACTGGGATAGGCCTTAGCTTTTCTATATTGCACCTTGACACAAACAGTAACTTTGGGAAACTGATTTCACTCTTGCTATTAAAGTTGCTGCACACACCTAGCTTCCTTGCTGGAAATCTTCCTCCTCCTTGGAGGTATTCTGTCTCCTTTGGATTTCCTCTCCATGTTGTACTAATTCTGCTTGGGTGAGACAGAACTTGTTTTGCTTTTAACAGCAGAGGAAATACACCAAGCACTGTTAAAACTGGGATGCTATGGGCTTGCTCTGTAGCAGTGAGCTGGGTAGCTACATGATGCTTTGTGGGCTGCCTGGAGATGCTCAAGAAGAGTAAACATGGATAGGAAATACCTACCCAAACAGAACTAAGAGCAGAGACCTAAAGTGTAATTGTCAGGTGAGCAAGGGTGGAAAGGCCTCTGCGATGTTGCAGAACGTTTAAAGCTTTGGCTTACATTGCTGTGGAAGCCCTCAGTGGCATTTGTAGGGAGAGGGAGCCCTAGGAAAGGGGGTTGAATGTCTTCAGTGAGACTGGCCATCAGGGTGGAGAACTGTCATGGAACACAAAGGCCAGCTCCTAAACCTGATGGAAATGATCTCTGGGGCCCTGTGAGAGGGTTTTATTTTGCTTATCTCCCCTTTTTAAATTGGAGCAAAGTTGTTTCCTTCTCCTCAAACCACCAGACTGAAGCTCCAGTCTAGCTTGCACCCACAAAACTACACTGACTTCAGTGTGTGAGCTGAATTTAGCCTTTGGCCCTAAACTCCATCGTAATGGAGACACCCCACTTTAGGGTTTGGCAAGGCTGTGTGAATGCACACTCACAATACAGCCGTGGAAAGTGGGGAGGAGAAGCTGCTGCAACCTTGTGTTTTGGCTTTTCAAGTTCTGCTGATTCAAACACAGCTCAGTTTGGCTTTATTCTAGCAAAAGCATCTGTGCACCAGCATGGTAAATGATGGTGTGGGTTTTGGCCAGGCTCCATTATGCAATAGGAAACAAGACACTGTAGCTGAAAGCAAGAGTTCAGGTCTTCAGACACCCTGCTATAGACTCTTGCTCTGGGTGGAAGCAGCTCTGAGTTTCCTGCATGGTGTGGTGAAAGAGCCCAGCCAGAAGCAGTGCACTGGAAACTGTGGGGCAGAGGCAGTGCTCAGTGTTCTCTATGCTGGCATAAGACCTTCAACAGTTGTTGATCTTTGAGTAACTGGTTGAAGGAAATGGACTTCTTGCACTGCAAGAAGGATGAGCTTACATGTTTTCATGGAGAGCTAAGTCTGATTGGGAGGCTGGATTGGGCTGAAGTCTCCCTCTGCCACAGACTTTCAGTATGGCCACTTAATTTCTGGCCCTGCTGAATTCAGTGACAGAACTGGGACTTCAACAGGATGGGAATTCAGCTAAATAGGAAAGAAGAAACCCCCAGCCAAACAAAAAACCAAAAACCCAACCCACACCACCAAAACTGTGTATTTGATTCCTCGTAGGAAATGACTTCTGTTGCTGGACCCAATGTCTATACAAGCCGATGTCTCTGGCGCCAGACAGCAGTGGGAGATTGGTGATAAGGACATAAAGAACAAGGCACAGGTGGGACAATGGTTGCTAAATTTCTTTTTCATGTGATTGTCTTAGCAAATCCAGCATTTGACTCATTTAGTTCTCTCTGTCTCTTCTTGGTTATCTCTTCGCTCCTGCTGAAAACCATTTGACAAGCAGCAAGGCCAACATGGTGCTTCAAGCCTCCTCATGACCTCTGCCTGCCTTCCAGCGTGGTGAGCAGCGTTATCACAAGCTCCCTGGGCTTTGAATAGGATGCTTTTAGAACAAACCCTGGGAATATTTAAAGAGGCACACAGGAGGGTTCTTTTCCTCTGCATTGACATTCCTGTGTTATCAACCTCCAGAGCTTGTTGCTTGCGTAAAGAGAGCTGTGAACAGTCCAGGCATGTGATGTTCCTCTCCCTTAACTCTGTCTCTTATCAGCACACATGAGGCTGCTGTGTCTTGTGGAGAGCTTTTCCATTGCCATTAGCAGCTTGTTTCTGTTCCTAAAGCTGCTTTTTGTTTTACATAAATCCTGCCTGTTCCCTTCCCCAAGGTACTCATCCATCTCTAACTGCTGTTACCTCATTTTCTTCCAAATCCCTTTTGCCCTGCCTGCTGCAGCAAGCCCAGGGCAAGGCTATTCCCGCTTGTTCCAGGGACACTTGGGCAGTGTCCTTCTCCACCTAATAGTTTTGGAAAGTCTTCTCTGAGGCAGTGACATCAGTAAGTACATGCTTCGGAGGGTGGTGGTGCAGGGAGCAGTTCCCTGCAGACAAAAGCCAACCCCATGAATACAGCAACAGCATGGTGGTGGGTGAAACTAAAGCATACGCAATAAGCAGGTATAAAAACACAAGTAGATAGTTCTAGGGAATTATGTCTTTAACAGGACACAGGATCAAGCAATGAGTTCAAGGGTCGGACTGTGCCTTGCACATCAGTCGGAGCTCGCTTACCACCATGGGGACCACTGGGATATGTGGTACCGCTTGGAGAGCCTGAC